GAAGAGTGCCGCCAAAAATTGCTACTAGCTGCAGGGAGCCATTTGGCCCACTGCAAGACCACAAGAGGCTAATTCGCTCAATCGGCAACCTTCTCACTTGGCGGGAATCTCTCCCCAGCTCCTTCAGCAATGTCCAAAACTGGATAATGTGAAGGAACCACGCGACAAAAGACAAGACAAGACATTCTTGGATCAGCGCATTTTGAAGGCTTAGGAATAATCAAAATCGCGCATTAGCAATTTTGCCGAGGCGCTGTCTTTAACCAAGTGAAGCTCCACGCAATTAAGTCAATGTGTTCTACTGTTAGCATAAAATTCTCTTAAACTTTCTCATCATCGCCAGAGTACAGTACTAATCCAATTGCGTCTAATGTTCCGTTACATCTGCTACGTCGTTACCGTAGGAAATGTCTTTAATTAACATATCAGTATTCAACAAAAGACGGCATACATCCCGTTCGTTCGTTGACTAACAATAAGACCAATTCATGTAAAAACCACTAATCGGGACTTTATTGCTGCAAGGACAACTGACTCACATATGTAAGAGCGGTAAGGTGGCAACATATCAAAACGGTTGTGGACGTAATAGAGTGACGTGGGTAGCCACTGTATACGTTTAGCTAAGCCTCAAACCCCCCTTCTGTATAGATATTTTACCAAACGGTAATCAATGTTAGAGTTAGATGGAAGAATTGCTAGGATTTTCTTTACTTTTTTTTCACTTTTAGTAGGTGAATGGGAATGTTAGAGAAATTTGGATGTTTTTCTGACAACCAGCTTAAATTTTTATTATGATCTGGATTGTATTTACATTCTTAGGTAACTGTTATCATTCAGAGCATACAAGATACTGAAATGGAATCATCTAATGAGCAACCGATATTGCGTAGGCGTGGACGTCCGCGCATTTATGCATCAGATGCAGAACGTCAAAGAAACCACCGTTTTGTTGAAAGCGAAGAACAGCGGGCACTGCGGTTAAACGCAGATGCAGCACGACATCAGCTGGAGCGCCAAAATGAGGACCCTGAGCAGAGTTCTATCAGACGGGCGCAAGATTCGCAGCGTCATCGCGAGTACTTCGGCACTGAAGATGCGCAGCGAAGAGCCAACCGTCTGATGGAGCTTACTCAGCGTAATCATAGACGTCGAGAAAGTGAGAGCTCAGCTGAAGGGTCTGAACGCCGTCTCGCTGACATGCAACGACAGCAAAGACGTCGTGCAAGAGAAAACGTTGAAGAGCGTGCACAGCGACTTTCTGGGAATATGGAACGTCAGCGACGAAATCGCGAAGCGGAGAATGAGGAAAGTCGATCTACACGACGATTACAGAATACAGTACGTCAACAGAGACGTCGTGAGGTGGAAGATGATGAAAGTCGATCTGCACGTCGATTACAGGACACAGTACGTCAACAGAGACGTCGTGAGGTGGAAGATGATGAAAGTCGATCTGCACGCCTCCTTCAAGACGCAGCACGCCAGCGAAGAAGAAGGCAAGCTGAGAGTGCTGAAGATCGTGCCCAGCGTCTTCTCGAACAAAGACAACGTCAGCAGAGAGTACGGCAGAACGAACATCAGAATCGAATCACACAGAGCCAGAATGTAGAATACCAAGAGTTGGATGCAGAGGTGGATACGGAAAACCATCAACACCACGACGATGCCGAGCGTGTGGATTCCAGCACCCGACGTAATCAGCGTCGTGTTGTTGCCCGTACAACCGGGATAGCGCTCAGAGTTCGCACGACCACCGCGAGCTATTTGGGAGAGCTAGATCGCAACTGCGTGAACTGCGGTGCGTTACATTTTGGTTTTGAGGTGAAGCAGCAGCATCCCGATACATTCGGCGACTGTTGTGACTACGGGCATTTTGCTCTTGATTTTTTTGACGACTTTCCTACGGTGATAAAAGAACTCTTTCTTGGAAACTCAACGCTGCTGGAGCCACAACAACGTCGCAATAATTTTTTCACTCACATCAGGAACTTCAATTCAGCATTGGCGATGGCTTCAATGGGCGCTCAAGTGGACGTGATTAGAGGACGAGGGCCGTATTGCTATCGCATACATGGACAAGTGTATCATCGTATTGGTCCTCTTCATCCAAATGAAGGAAATGAGCGGCAATACGGCCAAATCTATGTGCTCGACACCGAATTAGCAGCACAGCAGCGCCTAGGAATCGCTCAAAATGCGGATTGCGACCCTGAGCTGATGAGGTTTCTGAGCGAGTGGTTTGCGCATAATAATATTTATGCGCTATCCTTCAGAATGATGAGTGAGGTTGAGAAAGCAGAAGAGGAAGCAGCTCGACGTGAAAACAGACCTGCAAATCTGATCAGGATGATTTTTGAAGACAACAGAGAAAGAGGTATTTCTCGAGGCAGATATGCTGTTCCAACGACCAACGAAGTTGCAATTGTATACGTTGGTAATGATAACGACGTTCCTCCTGCTAGAAGTCTTGCGGTACACTTGCGAGAGTCAGACGGAGCTCCTTTGTTGAATATAAGCGACATCGATAAAAGGTGTGATCCCCTTACCTATCCTTTGCTGTTTCCAACAGGAAGAGGTGGTTGGGACCCAACACTTACGGACAGGCGTGGAGTACGGATCACACAGATGAGATATTATTCGTATCTCTTCTCGATACGCAATACGTTCAACCCGATCTTGCATGCGAGGAAGTTATTCCAGCAGTTCGCGGTCGACGCTTACGTTAAGATTGAGCAGAATCGATTGAATTATCACAGGACTCACCAGACCAACCTCAGAGCTGACTCATACAGAGGTCTGCAAGATTATCTGGCGGGAGAAGACAACTACGGACCTCCGGGAAGCCGCGTTGTGTTGGCGTCATCGCATATTGGAAGCCCCAGAGCAATGCAACAATCCTACCAAGACGCCATGGCTATTGTCGCTCGCTTTGGGAAGCCCACTTACTTTTTGACGATGACCTGCAACCCTCAATGGCGAGAAATTCAAGAAAATCTTTACGAAGGTCAGAATGCTTCGGACAGACCAGATCTCACAGCAAGAGTGTTCAATGGCAAGCTGAGAGAGCTTTGTGAAGATCTGTTCAAGAATAAAGTGTTTGGAGAAGTGGAAGCATATGTCTACGTCATTGAGTTTCAGAAGAGAGGTCTACCTCACTGTCACATGCTTCTAATCATGAAACATGATTGGAAAGTTGAAACAGTTGAGGATGTGGATAACGCAATTTGTGCCGAGATACCACGTCAGGAAGAGGAGCCACAAGCGTTTGCGGCCATCATAAACTTTATGATTCATCGGAAATGTGGTGCTCAAGACCCTCAATCACCCTGTATGCGCGATGGAAAATGTTCCAAACATTTTCCAAAACAGCTACGTGAGAGGACGTCTATAGAAGTGGACGGGTATCCGAAATACAGAAGGCGTAATCGCACAAGAGTCTTGATCAACGGTGTTCCGTACAGTGACGAGTGGGTTGTGCCGACGAATCTGTTCCTGATCACGAAGTATGAATGTCACTTGAACGTTGAGATTTGTGAAACGATTTCGGCAGTGAAGTATCTGTATAAGTACATATACAAAGGCCCAGATCGCGCACGGATCACAATGGAGAGCGATGCTGATGAACGTGCTAATGCTGATGAGATCAAGCAACATCTGAATACACGTTATGTTTGTCCACCTCAAGCTCTTTACAGAGTTTTTGGTCTTCCTATGCAGGACAAATCACATACGGTGTTCAGACTAGCCGTCCATTTGCCAGGCTATCAAACCGTGCATTTCGTTGCTGGAGAGGAACAGCAGTACCTTGATCGCGCACGAAGTAATTTTACTACACTGACAGCATTTTTTGAGCTGAATGCACTGTGCGCAAGGACGTTCGATAATGGCCAGCCTTCTGATTTGGTTACTGATGCGCGGGATTTGTACTACTATGAGATCCCAGAGCATTTTACGTTCACTTCGCGCCATGGATGGAGGCCGCGAAGGCGAGGAGGCAAGGAGATCGGAAGAATGTATACGGTATCACCGAGAGATACGGAACGCTACTGTTTGAGAATCCTCCTGTTAAACACTAAAGGGAAAATGTCATTCGAAGATCTTCGAACAGTTGATGGGCATGTTTACGCAACCTTCTCAGACGCCGCTAAAGCTTCTGGATTTCTGGATGATGACACATATTATCGACAGAGCATGCAGGAAGCAGCGCAGTTTCAGACGTCATCCACCTTAAGAGGCTTTTTTGCCTGTTTGCTTTGCTACTGCGAAGTTGTGGATGCACAAGAGCTGTGGAGTGAATTTGCAATGGCGATGTCGGAAGATTTCGTGCATCAAGGACTAGGAGAAGCAGAAGCTGTAGCAGCAGCCTACTTCGATGTAGCGGACAAAATGCTGCTGCTAGGCAGAGAGTTGCAGCAGATAGTAAGGCCTCCTGTAAATGAGCGCCCCAATATTCCTGTAGTCGCAATAAACTACGAAGACCATCGCAGCGAAGGAGCGCGCATGTACGAATCGCTTAACGTTAATCAGAAGACAGCCGCTGACGACATTATGGCTGCGATGGATCGTGACCATGAGCGATGTTTCTTCATTGACGGTCCAGGAGGAACTGGGAAGACCTACCTCTACACAGCTTTGTACAATACCAGTATGATCGTCCGGCTACGCCGGACTCTCATACTTCTTGTCCATATCTATAAGGAAATATTTGGTCATTATCTTGGATACTTTGAATGGAATACTTATATTCGTACTAAGAAAGTTTAAGATCAGTGAGTAAGTCGCTGTTCGTGTTCACAAGTTTATGGACTATAATTTAGACTAACGAAGCAACCAGTGGGAAGGCGACGTCTAAGAAAAGCCGAATTTTTGATAGAGCAAAATCAATTGGGAAGAAGGTGGTGGAAAAGGTCGCAAAAAAGGCTGCAGAGAAAGCCGGAAAGTTGGACGTAAGTTTTCAGAAAAAGCCAAGGAAGTCGAACTAGGTATATAGAGTGTGCATGTTCATTGATGGTTCAATATTCACTCGTCTTCAGCACCACCGGAGCTACCAGGTCTTGAAGGTCTACCAAAAATTCTTCCCAGGAGCCGTCCAAAAGTTCTCGGGGAAAACTGAAGAAGGAAAACTGAGCGAGGTGGGTCTTTGAACCTTAAAATGTTGTAGTAACTGCTGAGAAGAAGCTAGAACAACATTTGAAAAGCGGATACAAAACATGTGCATATAATTTTGAATCTCACAAATTCAGCTAAAACTGCAATCTTTGTCATTCTTGTTTATCGTTTAGAAATGTTTGCGATATGTGAGTGTCTACAGGCCGAAGCACAGAAAGATTTCAATTTGGCGGCATTGATTTTGATAAAATGTTAACATACAGCATGTTGCAGCGCAGCTCGCACGTTCTCGACCTGGGCCTAATGTGCTCAATGTGTGCACATCTTTTAGCTGCACACAACAAATATGTAACTAAAAACAAGGGGATGATAATAGGTGTTCACTACCACATTACTGCCATGGCCTTGGCTCGGTCCCTGCTAATTACAAGAGAAAACCAAAAATTTTGAGAAAACCAAAAATTCTGTCTCCTCCTGCGTATCAGTTCGTTGCATCCACAGCTAAATTAATGAGTTATTGAAATCCGGCCATGGTTTACCCGTCATGTGGAGTGAATTTCTGTCAGGTGTTGAGTAGGGTGATAAGATTGAGTTACCTACGTCATAGTCTTAACTCACTGACGAGACGCCTAATTTTGCGTGGCGGCAGTGTGGGACGACGCGCTTTTGCACAACACTTCCGGCAGGAGAGAGTTTTGTTGTTTACGAAATGCAAGGTTGTTTTGCAAGGAACTATAAACATTTTTTGAACGACGGAGCCTACAGCAGTGCAAAAAACTGAAAAATTAATTCATGGAAAAATACTAGACTTACAAAGAATATAATTTTGGAACAGGTGTGGGCCACTGGCGGTCCACATCGTCCCTGGCAGCAAGAAGTGCGTAGACCACTGGTGGTCCACATCATCGTTAATGGTTAATGATCGCAAGAACAGGTTGACAGGGTAGCAAAAGAAAAGCGAGTTGAAATACAAATAGCGAATCATATATCCGAGCTAAGCCAAACTTCCTTTCTAGTAGCAGTCCATCTACTTTCCAACATAGTCCGAGCGAAATCGTCCCTAAAGGACAGTCATAATTTCCACGGCGGCTCTCAAGAGGTTAATGACGATCAGCATGATTGAAAATTAGTATACATCATTCCTCATGTTATGAAAACTGAGTCTGAAAAGCTAAAAGGTTGCAGTGAATGATTGTCTGAGGAGGGCTTGTGGAGTAGGGGCTTTTCAAAAAACAGTAAATAGAGAATTCGTACAGCAGGAATGTCAAAGAATTACAACACCGCTCATAATTCGTCAAAAAAGTCGCCGGAGTGCGGCGCACTCCGCCACACTTCGCCGCACGGCGCACTGCGCCACACTCCGCCACACTCCGACGCACTCTAGCGCACTCCGCCGCCGTCCGGCGACTTTTTTGACGAATTATGAGCGGTATTGTATGTAGAGCAATCTGTTATATCCCCCTTGTTCTTCCACACTGGTATCGATGCGCTTTTGCAACAATCGTTGGGCATCTTCTTGCATTCTACAATACCGCTCACAGAATGTGCAAAATTTCCCTGAACATCGCAAAATCCCGAAAATTCCGCGAACTTTCCGGAATTTCGCGAAACTCCTGAAAGTTCGCGAAGTTTCGCGAAATTCCAGGAATTTCGCGGAATTTTCGGAATTTTGCGATATTCAGGGAAATTTTGCACATTCTGTGAGCGGTATTGTACTCGACGTGCTAACAACATTTCTTACATTGTTTTGCTGCTGGTGGCACATTGTAGGATAGAATATCTGCCAAATTACACGACTTTCGAATTTGAAAGACATTTCAAGTAAAGGCGATTTTGTAACATCAAAATCTGACGAACAATTCAAATAAAGATCTGTGCTAAGCATGGTCCGATAGAGGTGTTCACAAAGTTTTTGAATCACAAAAATTTGCAGACAATTTCCGCAACAGGTAGGGGAAAAGTGCAGGCGAAGTTGTATCTTGATTGGTTCAGCTACTTCTATCTCACTTTAGCTTTACTGTAAGACTCTCTAGTGCAAAATAAATAGGATTTTCGTAAAGATCGGGACAAGAACCACTATGAGTGAAGTTTGCGGTCAATCCGAAAACCTCAATATTTTGACCAAATTTTGCGCCGAGGCCAAGAGTGAGGAGCGATCGCGCTATATCAATGTGTATTGCTTCTAAGAATCTGGAAAAAATATGGAATGTATAAGTATGAGACAGGTGTCTAACGTGATTTTTGGGGGAATTACGGAACAACTTTGGGGGAGCCAATTTTACGGCCTGAGCCTGCATGTTGGGGGGCTAATAACTCTGCGAATATTACAGGTATGGGGCTGGTATTTGTTTTGTTGGACAGATCTCTGAAAATATGATTTTTAGAGAAAGGTTGTAGAATAAGTTGTAGAATAACAAGTTTTAAAAAAGTGCCTAACTGACAGTCGAAGTTGGGAAATCTGTCAATAAGGGCATTTTGCGCGCTTATATTTCTAAGAGTTGCAGGGCTGGGGTAATCTCATACGGTTATTAACGTGTAGTTTTGGTAGCTCCATTTTTCTAGGGGTAGCTCATGCCCATAGCTTCAACGTAGGAGGCGCTATATAAAGGCGATGATGCATATTTTGAATTTTATCTCCGTGGAGAGTGGGGATGACGGGCTGGGATAGCCATTCTTCTATTCATATTCGAGGGGGACACTACATATAATTCGGAGAAAATGCAGGGCTCCGCCTGTGGGAGCCCATCTATAAACCTTCCCGGACGTTTTTTTTAGTTCAGGGTCTCGCAATTTCTCACTTTTCTCCCCCCTCATTTTCCCCTCTTTCTTTATTTGTGCAGCGCGTGTGGTAGTTACCGCGGCCATCTGGACCTGGTTAGGGGGCTGAAACCGGCTAGAAAGGGGTAAATAAGCTTAGAAAAACGCGATTTTTCCTTATTTTTCCTCATTTTTCCTTAATTTTTCTTATTTTCTTCAATTTCGATCGTGATGTGGGGGTATAAAGTGGGCGGAGCTTGTTTGGAGGAGTTTTAGCTGTGTAAAAGCGCTGAAAGTGAGGTTATTTTTCGCTTTTTCGAATCTTTCGCTTAGTTTTTCGCTAATTTTGTAGAGTTGGGAGGAAGAGGGGGTAGAGCTTCATTTGAAGGTGTTTGGGTGAAGTGGGCGGGGCTTTGGTCGGTGGATTAACAGTTTTGCAGTGGTTGATGGGGATTTGGTGGTGCTCACAATGGGGAAGTCGTGGCTGTTTGAAGAGAAGTGGGCGGGTCTTGCGGTTGAGTGGGCGGAGTCTTGTGAAGTGGATGGAGCCTTGGGGTCTAAAGGTGAGGGTGTAAATCTGCAAAACTGACAAAATCGAAGTTTTTGAGGTTGCGAAATCTCCAAATTCTCCAAATCTCCAATTTTATCGATTTTCGGGATCTCGCAACCTCCGAATATCGATTTTATCGATTTTTGAGGTTTTGATAGTTCTCTAACCTCAAAATATCTATTTTATCGCTGTTTAGCTGTGAACTGTAAGCCTCGCCCACTTTTGATGTTATTATACACCTAATATATGTATATTTCCTTCCACTCACTCCATATACAATACCGCTCATAATTCGTCAAAAAAGTCGCCGGAGTGCGGCGCACTCCGCTACACTTCGCCGCACTCCGGCGCACTGCGCCGCACTCCGCCACACTCCGACGCACTCTAGCGCACTCCGCCGCAGTCCGCCACACTTTGCCGCACTCCGGCGCACTGCGCCACACTCCGCCACACTCACGCACTCTAGCGCACTCCGCCGCAGTCCGCCACACTCCGCCGCACTCCGGCGCACTGCGCCACACTCCGCCACACTCCGACGCACTCTAGCGCACTCCGCCGCAGTCCGGCGACTTTTTTGACGAATTATGAGCGGTATTGTATGCCTTCGCGCACGTTTGCGGAACGAGTCAGGGCCTGGTAGGGGGATGCCAAATCTCAAACAAGTCGTTCTATGAAAAAAAGCATAGGGAAAAATTAGTTTACATGCACTACGTATACCTCAAATAGTTTACATAAATACCCCAAACTGGGTGGTTTCTGCAGATGGAAGTTTTGAAAAGTCCCTGCTTATATCATTACAGACTTCAGAAGAATTTCATAAAAGCTTAATGAACTCACTTCGCATTACGTGAAATCGCTCATAGCTTCTACTCACTAATTTGCACTACTTACTAAATTATCTAATTTTACATCTTGCCGACCTTTTCCTCTAAAGTGTGTTGTATATTTAGCTGAAAAGCCACTGCCACCGGCTTACAGCGAGATCACAAGTGGTGCAGTTACACAAAGTGTTCGCTAAATGAAAACTACCGTACTGTCTCCTGTTCCAATCCTTCATCCTTTACATTAAACTTCACGGATGGAACAATCAACGCTTGATGCGATGTGGGCATGTTACTGGAAAAGATATAGATAGTATCATCAACTCTTTCAAGTTTTCAAAATTGGCAGGGGGAGGGTTGGCCTAGTCTCCGACGTCTTTCGCACCTACGGAGTTTTTCAACTCTTGCAGATGCGAAACTCTTTTACGGAGAACCACCCATTTCTTGGGGTAACGCATTATGGTTACCAAGAGCAGATTCAAAACCCAACTTGTTTAACGTCGGTAGCATTCTCTCTCAAGTGGAAAATGCCGATAAGAGAAACCAATTTTCGACCTACTTCGGAGCGAGAAAATACTTTTATTTTTCCGAAAGTGAAGGTGCAGGATTCGAAGATTTTTCTTTTTTTGAAAAAAGAGTCATCAAGATTGCAGCAAATAAAATCGTAAATAGAGTTCTATCCCGTAGCTCAAAATTTCCACTCAGAGGTCTAAAAGCGATTCAATTACTTCCATCAAACGCTTTAGGCGATCAAACGCCCCAACCAACTCGTACGTTTGATTCGTCTAAAGTGATCGGAGTCTAGCGTCCATGCGAATTAGCTTACGAAGAGTTCCACAGAAGAACACGACAAAAGCTCTTTCGGTCGCCAACAGGATATGGTGAAAATGAACAGTCCAGTTGAGTTGAACATGTTTATGAAGCTGTAGGTTATCTAGAAACCGCAAAGATAGGAATGGCTTGAGATCATTTGTGATCAACTGTTCATTCTTGCTATTCATTTTCGATTTCGAGCAAGAATGTATGCGGCCTCCAACGCTTTCCGAAGTGAGATGTTATTTTCGACTGCCAGTATGTTACAATTTATTTCGAAATCTTTGCCTTCGTGATCCTCCTTCCTATGTTTCCCCAGCGGGCTCGAGAGGCTCTGTCTTCGTTTGCTGACCAGATGTTCATTGACACGTACTGAAAGTGGTCGGCCGGTCTCGCCGATATAAATGGCCCGGCATGTTCGACATTCCAACTGATAAACTACGCCATTTCGCCACTTCGTGAGCAATCCGTAGGTGGTAGGCAGATGAATGTACGAAGCCCACTGAGAAGTCTATTTACTATTGAAAGCAGTCCCCCATACGCGCGCGCGTCGAAGTTTGGGTGGTGCTCCGCCGAAGGAGCTGCGCACCTGCAAGAGCCAACAGCTCAACAGGGGGCGAAAGACGTTGGGCAAAGCGATCGTGCCCTTTCGCCAAACGATACCTACTCACCTTGCCAATTTGTGAAAGCTTAAACAGTTGACAGTGTGTGCATGTCTTTGCATCTCCTGTGCCGTCTCGTGCTGATGTCAGCAATTATTCTGCATTCGTGATGACTAATGCTAAGAAGACTACTGCCGGATGAAGGCGCAAAATTAATATCAGCCAGGCGGGTGCGAACGTGGCGCGCGGGTATCTTGTGAATTGTGTGAAGACGAATTGACTGCTGTCTTTGCTCCCACAGAGGCATAAAAACGCATCACCTCGAAGCCCAATTTAGTCACCTTCAGTGCCTTAATACTACCATAGGTGAGCAAAAAAACCATTTGAGTATAGATGGAAAGGATGCGAGGATGCGCTTGTCGGAGGTGCGTGCACTTCGCGAGCGATCGCTTATTGTCAGGATTTTTCAAATGTCCTATACCCTGCTCCTCATTTCAGCATCCGCGATTCCAAATTTTACGCCTCCGTCTGGCGTAGCTTTTATAAAGGGCCTGGTAAAGCATGTAGTGCTATCAACCCTTTGTTGGAATTTTAAGTTTGTATGGACTTTTATTGCAAATCTGTAAGGAGAAGGATTTCTCAATAATTGGCCTCGCTGTCACTTTGCATTTAATATATTCTTTAACAGTATTCCCACAATTAGGAATAAACGAGACGAGGTCTTTACACAATATAAAGAACGTTCACATTTTGACCGACACCCACTAAAGATTGTCCAGCCAACTCTGCGTTCCTAGGCATCGTTATACATGGGTATTGATAGAGAGGCTTTGGATAAGTCACGGTTCAAGAAGCACCTTATATTTCTGATACACCACCAAGAAATTTAACTCTGAAGTCTAACTTAGACCGTATACTTGGTGAGCGAGCCAATCGGCGTCTGCGGTTACGGTAGAAAGTATCGGTCTGAACTGTTTCGAGTTGATGACGTGATGCTCCGCGGCTCAGTCAGCCAAGTTCCTAGCTGAGTCTTAAACTTTGCATGCATACGAAACTCAGATTCAAACACTGCCACTGCTGTATCTGTTTGGCTTCGTACCTTCGCTAAAATTGCAGTCAGAGTTTCAGTAGAATGCTAAAGCGTTGCAGGCAATTCAATGTCGATCAGCCCGAAGATTATAATTTCCATCGCTTGGGATACTGCATACATTTAAAATGAAGGCGTCCTTTGAACACCCTGCAGTATCTCCAAAGGCACTTCTGAATCAAGAATTCACTATGCTTGGCAGAAAATGCACCAAAACTCCTGTTTTGGCAAACACTACTGCACTGTATTCTAGCAACCAGGGGTTTCTTGAACATATTTTGCACATGGCTTGCTTGTGCTTTTTAGTTAGTGCTTCCACTGTCACTTCCACAACGAGTAACAACAGTAGCAACACAACAACATGACGCATTTTTTTAAGTATGATTGAGATTGGAGGTTCTGAAGCACAGCTTTTTATATCAACGATGCGGACCAGAATAAAACCAGTGAGTGAGGTCTTGGTATGAGTGACCCTGAGAAAGCTGCAGTATGTTGCTGTTGAAGAAATCAAAGAGTTTGTTTAGAAAAGATGGTTTTTTTGGTATAAATTGTACATATGGGCCACCTAATTTTTACACTGATTTGCACTAGCTTGAAAAATGCACAAAACTTTACGCTTATTGCGAAAAATAACCGTAAATAACTCCGCCGGGTTCAAATAGTCCTTGAACTCAAGTTATTCGAGTTATCTTAACAACATTCAAGCTATCTATCTTATGATATACAAGGTGTCCTAAAAGTATGTATACACTGTTTGGTCATTAATATCTTTCTTTCAATGAGGATTGCTGACTACCTTCATCTGCCATTCTGTAAAGCTAGCCTCAACTTAGATTTACAGTAAAGACCGAATCAGACCTATCTCTCTTCATTACTACAGGATTGCGGTAGGAATTTAGCTTACAGCGTCTTCGTGGATTGGACGTGTTTCAAAAAAGTTTCAAAAAAAACTTGAAAAGTGTCTTCATGGGTTTGATATTAATACTTTGCAGTCTTCATGCGCACTAATACGGCTTTTTAAATGATGTAAATATAATTTCATGGAACATTTTAAAAACAGCTATTGTGGTTTACCTGGCATAACTTAGAAACAAGCATTGCGGTAAAGTGCAAAGTTCATATTTAGTTTTAGAGGGCTTAATTAGCCTAGTATAATAGTTTTTAGGTTTTGTTTGGTTTGCTTTCTGAGGCTGAATAGGACACCCAACGGCTCACAACCCTTTTTGATGTTTCTACCGTAATCCTACAGTAGTGAAGACCGATCGGTGATTCGCTACATACTGTAGATCTAAGGTGAAACCAGCTCTACAAAATGGTGCCAGGCGGTACGCAAAAGACTTCTTGGAAAAAGGAACATCAAAGATAAACAGTGTATACATGCTTTTGGGACACTGTATAGAAGCGCTGTTTGGTGCGGTAATTTTATGGTAAGTCGTCAGCGTAGTTCAGCCGCAGCTAATGTGTGTTTGTGTTGATCAGCACACTGAGCTCCGCAAGCAAAAATTTAAAACGTTGTGCAAACTGACGGAAAAGACTAACCGACTGTGTATCACATACTTACCGTTACCTGAGCAGACATCTATATATAAATACATATCAGGAGGCGGAGTCGAGCTAAACTGAATGGTAGATTCAAAACTCTGGCAAACTTTGGTAGAATTCGTAGCCATTTTTCAAGAGCTATGACGGTATTGTAAGAATTTCCGTTTTTTTTCATCAAAGTGTTTAAATGGTGAAGAAGACTGATCAAGATTTAGAATTTTTTGGGTGAATCGCAAATAGGCTTGAAGAAGCCAGTCAAAGGGAAGCAAAAAATGTTGCATGCAGACGGTCTTTATCAGCTTTTTGCAAAAACTTTTTTGAGCACCCTAAGCACTTTCTAAACAAACACTATGTGAAACTTTGTCATTACTCTCCTTGAAAGATTGCAGGTCATTCCATACGCAGCTGGATGATGTTAATCGTCATTTATCAATTCGAGAACCTTTCTCGAGTTTATTATCTCTACAATGTTCAATTTCAAAGACTATCGAGGTTATTCACCATCATTTCATTAAAATATATGATGTGAAGCGCTGAAATTATTAGATATTTCACCACTTTGATACCAAATGGTGTCAGATGCTTGTAACTGACGCGCTTGAAATGATGTGAAATGCATACTGAAAAAGAAACTTTGCACGATGTGTCTTCATATGCATTCGTTTTGACTTTTCAAACTTGAGAACAATTCCATTCGCTTTGCAGCATATTCGCCTATTCATGCAATCGACAATTATACGAAGTGGTACTACAGTGCAGAGGTAATGGTGTAAAAGACGCAATTTATTGCATCTAAAATTTTACCTTGTAAATTTAGCTTGAGTGCTCGCGGAAAGTTACGCGAAGCATCTCGCACGGGAGCGCAGAGGCTCATTGGCTGCCCTAAGGTAATCTCAAAAATAAACAAAACCGGTTTTTTTCTTTTTACGATCGTTCCAATATACATCATTTTCACTTCGCCAAGCATCTCATATTAAATTTTAATGTTCTTATAATTTGGTCAAGGGTATCTAATACTCATGCTCACTCATGCAACTTTTGAGAGGGAAAAACTGCGATTGCTGGGAAATAAAAATTTTGAAATGTTTAAACCAGCACAGAGCCAAACGTTTCTCCAGATTTCGTACAGAAACCTTTCAGCAGAGAGCTGGATCCCTGCGGAAAGCATGCAAATGATGCAATTGGTCAAATACTGTACTGGTAATCGTTCCCAAGATGAATCCTCATGTGCAGTTGTTAAGCCTTGACCAAGATTGTTACATTTTATTAGGCTTACGTTTCGGCTGAGGTTCGCCTTCGTCAGTGAGAAGTGAGCAGTAAATGAAATCTACCCTCCAGTTGTCTTATCGTCACAGGAAAAGGGAAAGTAAGTTGTGAATGCCTATAGACAGCTCACCTTAAACCTGCCAAGTGAGGACTGCAGACCACCACTGACATGCGTTGAGTGACTAATGAGCTGCGGCACCCGGGTATGAGGGTGTTGGTCAAACTCGCATAACTCCAGGAACGGCGCGAGTTCGTTTGTGATGGCGATGCATTCCTTTTTCCTATTCATTTTTGGATTCCTAGCGGAAATCCAGCAGGCTTCTAATGTTTCGCGCCGCCACTTCTGATTGTTGATAGAGATTGATATTTATAGATTAATTACACACAATTGATAGAGATATCGAATTCTGCGTTTTGATGGCGCTGCTTACGGTGCGTGCCTAGCGTGGATAATCTCGATCTACGCATCCCGTCCATGTGTTCTTTGATTCTCAGACATAGTGGCCTACCCGTCTCGCCAATGTACTCCTCGCCACATGATTTACAAGGCAAGAGATAGATCACACCTGCGCACATACAGTCTCTCTGTTTATTAGTAGCGCATATAACGCAATCTGTTGTTGTGCAGGCCTTATCGTATGCTCTATTTCTTACTAAGCGCCGCTTTAGGCTTTGGGGAGGCAATTCAACAAGCCGCAACAAATCCTGCAGGCCTGTCTTTCGCACACACGTCCTAATTGCGCTGCTCAGCCTGTCCGAGATGAAGGGGAAACAAAACGGTACCTTATCACTAAGTTCCTTCTGCAGCCTGACCGCGCCGCACTACTTTTCTGGGCTCATATCCGTTAGCTTGCGCAATCTGGAGTGCCTTACTGACTGATGCGGCTTTAAGAATGCCATCAGATGACACCCTCTTGGCCGTTCGGAGCATATTTCCAATCACGCTGGTTTTTGTACGGATAGGATGCGCAGACGAGTAGTGTATCAAAATATTTTTGCTAGTAAGCTTCCTGTACCAGCCAGTTTTACATTCTCCCCTATTCAGGCTTATCTGAACATTGAGGAATGGCAACCAGTCGTCTTTTGGTCTTTCCCTGGTGAACCTTATGTCAGCTGATTGCTTGTTGAGTAGATCGAAGCAGACATCCATTTCTGCTTGTGTGGGACAAACGATGAGACAATCATCGATGTAGCGGAAGTAGAGGGTGGGTCCGCGAAATTACGCAATTTTCTATTTTGGACATGAAGCTTATAGCTAAGGCAGGTGCCAAGCGTTGCCCCATGGCTAGTCCCCTTAGTTGTTTAAAGTACTGCCCTGACCAGCGGAAAATTGAACAGTCTAAACATCCTTGTGGTAGCACCATTATTTGCTGAACTGTGAGGCCGAACAAGCTTATGCTGTTGATGTTACCACTTAACAATTCGAATACAGCCTGCAGCGCAGCGGATTACGAGATCCCGAAGTTCCTTGAGACCCCTGATTTGCGCTGGTGTAAGATTCGATTTTTGGCGCATGCGCATATGTGTTCTAAGTACGCTGAATACTGAGGTAGCGACGCGAGCGGGATTCGAGAAATCAGCCATCTATTTTTCCGGTGCCCGCCTGCCCCGGCGATTGTCTGAGTAGAGGCCGGAGAGTGGTAATCGAACAAGGCATCTATAGTTTTGATAAATAAAGATGACATACATTTACAGACGTTTATCTGCCGTTAAAGTATCAGTGTGCGCCACCCTTACAAATATCGACATTCTAAAAAAGGAACGTCTTCAAGAAATTCAAAAAATCATTTGTAAGCATGTTCTATGCACTCTCTTGTTTGAACCGGGACCTTTGAGAACGGGAGTGATATTGTCAGATGATATTACGCCACTGTCAGGCGTAGTGCAGTGTAGTTCAAGCGATAGCGCTAATGCTGTTTCAAATAACATTGGAAGAGCTTAGGTGAGATGATGCCCAAAAATTAGTTCGTATTTAGTCCTTAATAAGAGCTTGCGAAGTTTACGAGCGGAACACAGGATAGAGGAAGTTAGGTCGCCAAAAGAGGAGGTCCCGCGCGGAAATCTGCAACAACAATTGCGCACTTCTGTCCACCACAGCTCGTGGTACTAGTCGGGGTGAAGCCTATTGGTGACTTCTTGTCCTCTACCCAGAATACATGATCAGCCTTATCATGTAAGACACTTAACTCGCGGCTGTGTCTCAACCAGAGCTTTCAATGGTTTCCACTTAAGATCTTAGAAACCTAGACTTGATCTTGATGTTGAAGGTTACATAGTCCATCAATAAGATTCTTACAAAGCCTCTAGTAGAGTATAACTATCTTTCAAAATGAATTACAAACGTTATTCAGTTAACTCATATGTAAATGCTGAAGTGGTTTATGTAGATGTTTTCAATAGGAGATGACTGTTTCAAAATTCGTCCTGGCTTGTTGTATGATCATGGACAGATGGCACATTCACAAAGCCAGTCATCTCTTGTGCAGTGGCCTCCTCCCTTACAGTTCTGAAGCAAACCGATCTATTGCGATAGAGTGCAAGACTAAGACTTACATGTTTTATTGTGCAATCCGAAAAGCAGACAGTGTTAGCAAGTTGAGGATCCTGCATGCGTTCCCCGAAGCATTTCCCGATAAGTTTCATTCTCCACTCCACCGTAACTTGCGATAGGAGCATCAGCATCAGCAATGTGACTAGCGGAAGCATGATCTTTTCTGGAATGAGATCAGATGTCCTGCAGCTCTGATTTACCATGCCAAGCAAACGAAAGCTTCATGCAGTTGCTTGAGCTACTAAGAGCAAATTGGATATCTGAGAGAAGCAAAAGATATAGCTTAAGATCTGGAAAAAATTTTTGAAAGAATCGGACGTATAAAAGCGTCCTATAATTGTATACTGAATATACAGAATATATGAAGTTTTGTTGCATGAGTTACATACTTACTATTTATTTTTCCCGAATTTTTGAAACGTTGGCTAGATTGCTGAAATTGTAGAACCCATTTTGATATTTTTTCGCCAATCTCAATGAATTGCTTGGCATTGAGCTGATAAAGAGAAAAATGTTGGCTTTGTAAATACGAGCACCTTAGCAGTTGTTTAGAAAAAAAGTATTATTATGTTGAAACGAAGAAGAAGATCACTTTGTTTGATGTATATTAAAGGTTTGCCATGAAGAAATTATACTTTTTCTCCGACTACCTTTTTTGACTAAGCCAAGTTTGTGTTGAATCAAGTGTCTCTCTATAGTCATATGTCTTCCAAAATTACAATAGAAAACAGCAAAGTCAATTATGTTGTCATTTTTCATCAAAAATCATAAGATTTTATGGAACGCCTCATTTGTAAAAACTCTCTTAGCTAACTAGAGGTAGGAAAAAACTTAGCGTTTCCTATACTAAATAAGAAAGTCGTTTACTACAAGCTTGCCAAAAAGTCTCAAGCCCCTTCTTTTCGGTGACGAGGCAAATGTCTCTAATCAGAAGGAACTATCCCCGCGCAAGTTACTATTCGGAAATCTTTTTATTTTCCCGGATTCACCCACGTTATCCTTTGGGGCAAACTCTACTCAAGGAAATTCATCCAAGTTAGGTATGGTATGATGACGTGAAAAAATAGGAGCAGAATTGCTGAAATTGCTGGTGAACCCGCATACTAAACGCGCTCAACATACTTCCCCTTTAATGCTATTAACAATTCATAGAATCTTCTTTATAACCGTAATCTTTGCCGGTGTTTAAATGACTGAAAACTATTTGAGCTTTTCTCACCAGCTTTTCATAAATATAGAAAGTGCCAAGCACCGATATTGAATGCTTTTTGTTTACTAAGACACCAAATGATGTCAACTGTTGTTGCTGATCAAGGCCAGTGCTTCATGATTCTGTATAATTTTACAGACCTGACATTGAAAACTCGAAGAAAGGGCATCAGTAAGGAGATTGCCATTGCAACACTTTTTTTTATGCAAAAGTGAATATCACTATCTTCTTACTGTATGTTCGGTAGCGCAGGCGACAGACATGGCGGAGTGATGGAACAGCAAAATAAATGGCAGATCAATTTGTGAGAATGCCAACTAGTACACTTTCTTCCGTCAATTCGTCGGTTCTTTCTTAAAGATTGGGAGAATGCGTCTATAATCAAAAAAATTATAAGGCCTTTTGAACTGTTTCATTCCATTAGGAAGAGCCGCTATCCTTAACTTCGGTACGTACGCTTTTGAACATTTTTATGAGAGCATTGGCGAGGCAGGCGATAGCCCGCTAATTTCCCATATTTCATCCTATTACACAAGCAGAAAAGCTGAGTTTTGATTTTAGCATAAGTGAAAACTTTCTCTTACCACCACTTTCTTCTGCTTAAGTTTAGAAGTTCGCAACATCCAATTTGCTTACCATATAGATTTACTACCAAAAAATTGAAAATACAACCGACTGTCCCTTTCCTTACTTCGAGAGACCCATTATGTTGCTCTCATCACTTTAGTCGAAGTCAAGGGTTAACATATGCATTTCAGAGCCGATTTGTTCATGTCTGACAGCGCAAAAACGGTTACTGTCCACAATTTAACATGATTACATTAGCGAAAGTTTTGCAAGAACATGCACAATGCTTAATCTGTCTCCACGTCTGGACCATCTCTGGTCACCAAACCGGGATAAGGACGGGGGGGGGGGGGAAGGGGGGGGGGACTTGACCTAGCAGGGATAAGGAAGCCTTGTGTAGAAGAGGGAGTAACTTTCGCGTTATGCTGAAAAGGACCCGGGAAACCGAGTACACCGGCTAGTACTTCAATACCGACATGTTTAGTCAGTTTACCGAGAAAGTGGAATTTTGAAATGTGTCGATATTTCAGTCAATTTCAAAACTGAAGAACTGCAGATCGAAAAATATTTGCTCATTTTAATACCTTGTAAAATGATTTACAGATAATGACGATTAATAACAAAACATGGTGGTACTAGCTATCGTTATGTACACGGCTGCTAGTCGCAGCCGAGTAAGAGAGGATGGCTCGAGTTTCTTTTTTTCGTAACGCAGGAAGCTTGCGCTTGAGCTAACAAATTTTTCAAAGACTGTGTCTAGCAGATTAACCATCTCCATCTTCTAAATATGTAAGCAATTGCAAATTTGTAAAGTTGAAGTTTCAATTGCATTTTCAAATTTGTAAGCAATTTTCACTTTTTTTATCACTTAAGATTTGACAGTTTTAGACTTCCAAGCTTATGACTTCTTCCGGAAAGTTGTTTCGTAGAAAAGAAAAGCAGATTTGAAATCAGCTTTGAATGCGCGTCTGGTGACATGCATTTCCTTCGGGCCAGATCAATTGCCATTTCCTAATTAGAGTGCATTTAAAGGGTGTTCAGGCTTGGAATTTCAATTTTCGAGTTTTGACACGTCTTTTCAGACGAACGCCTCCTTGCTGAGGATTCAGAACACAGTCTTAAAGACAGTGTCCTGGCAGCATTGTTCCGTGGGGGATATACCTGTGGTGGTCACCCCACTTATTTCTAGGCCCAGTCGACTGATTGATGTTTACCCTGCGCCGAGCAAATAGCCCTGGAACCGACGCGCAATCCCAGTCGGCGCGTGCTCGAACGGCTTCGCACCTGTTCGGCGCGGGACCCCATGACAGCTCCCGTATTGTGCATGCCATTCAAAGCAAAAACTACAAGCGACAGGGTCTTCGTGCCAGAGTTTCCCAACTTTCTTCAAAAACTCTCGTGTGACCTGCCTTTTGGAAAGTGGCTAAACGCTCCAAAAACAGTCTTTCCACCTTCAAAACTCAGATTCGGATTCTGCGTGTCGAAAAGCCCTGAAATATGCAAAACTGTAGAAGTGCAATTTGCTGGGGCACTATCGTCAAGGATTGGTGTGAGCTTGTACCAAGATATGGTTATACAGGGTCTTGATCTTTTTAAATTCGCAAAAGTCCTAAGACTCAAAGACACGGCCTGCAAGGTTGTTTGTTCGAGAGGGCTTATGATTTAATACAACTAACACACCTGAGTAACATTTAAGCGCTTGGGTGCGGGCAATAATAGCCACAAGGAGAACAACGTGCACAGAGGAAATATCTGATGAATATAATGCTCTAGAGTCCTAATTTGAGGGAGTTTTATACTGGAGGCTCACACTTTTTTGACCGTTTAAGTATGCTGATAAAGCGCTGTCACGATGTCGTGTGACATTTTTTTTCGATCGATTCGAAAATTTTGAAATCAACGTGGCGTCCAATCTGGTACAAGAAGCTTTACGGCTTGCTAAGCTTGGTCTTTATCAAGATTACAGAAAAAAATTTTTTCTCCAGCGCTTATCAAAGACACTATGACCTGCTTAGTCACAGTATGGCGCAAAATAGACCAAACTTTGAGATAGCACCAGTGTTGTGTAGTTACTCAGGCATGGTCATACCTTCGATAGTCAAGAAACAGAGGCTAGAAAGTGATAGTTGTTTGAGTTCTTGCCCCTATAAAAAGTGAAGATTGTTCCAGAAAAATAGATGGAAATCTAGAGATATGAATTAAACCAGGAAAAATTCATATAAAGCGGAGGTTAGCACATCACCAAATTTGGAACCTTATCTTATTGTTTTCTTACGCACAGTTTGGCCTTCAGGATTACCGGTTAAATTGGGTGGCAACTAGAACAAAATTTTTCCAATTGTAAAAAGCGCTGTTTAGCTGTGGCGGTATTGGGAGACCGAAAGAAGGAAAACTTGTCAACAACTGAAGTGAACATGTCAAACATGTCTGAAAAGTTATGTTGCACATCGACGCCAATCTGAATTTTGTTGCGTCCTTCAAATTTTCACCCCCGCATAGTCGTTTCGTATCCTGCGATGTTGTCTGGTTTCTTCCGCTCATCATTCTGAGCAAGTATCGTCCAAGCTGAAGGAAATTAGTCGCACAAGCACTGAAAAAGAACGAGGTAAAGGAAAGCGCACTTTTTAGAAGTTTAAAAAACCGGCGTAAGCAAAGAATTAAGCTCGGCAACGTTGTCTACATCATAGACAGAAACAAGACATATCGAATACACAGAAAAACCGAGTGAAAGTTAAATTCAAGGGAAAACAAGAAGTATCCGAAAACGTCGGTTTTCGCAGATTTCTGGTTTAAATCATAAAAAAGAGCCTTGCGACGTTGTCAGCGTGAAAATAGAGATGAAAAGCTTTACAATGATATACAGATTGTCGAAATTGGGCTTTGAACAACGAAGAAAAGGGTACTAGAGCCAAATGCCCCGCGCCCCGCCCTTGAGGTAGCCAGGTAGCGCGCAACGCGAGGAGACGCAGACGAGCAGCGGAGATAGACCAGAGCCGACGGGGCATTTGGCTCTGGTCTTTGATCTCCGAGGGGTCATAACGAAACCCTATAACATTATAAATCGTTGTAATCCTCATGAGACGGCCAGGAGCACTGACAATGTCGCGGGTCTTGACAATCACTACATAACGTGATAGACCAGCAATTATGTGGCGACTTCTGCGCAAGATTTGAGCGCAGTTTCTCGTTTTTATTAAACTCCAGCCGCTTTCATGAACTTCCAACGCTGATCGCAGAGAGAAAGGTTAACTGTGAAACTTTGTCCTAGTTTTCAATTAAATTTTTAAATAAAACCTTCTTCTGAGCAAAAAAGGCTATGAAAACGCAATCCTTCGGTTTTTTGAGCTTCTATTGAATGTCACGGCTTTATTTGCCTTATTTACATTCATCCCTATATGGCTATGTCATTAGTTATGTCATAATATCCGGGGCCTCGCCCCGGATGACTTCTGTACTTCCCTCCAGGTGAAGGCTGTGTTCTATCATGACGCTTAGAGTGAAGGTTACCAGAGTACATGGCTCTATGTATTGAAGGTATGGGCATGGCCATTGAGAACTGCAAAACAGGGGGTTTCATGAAACGACTACTGAACCATCGTTTACTTCACAATTACTTTCCAGAGGGTGTAAGCTTCGAAGAGTAATACATAAACGCAATTATTATCCACTCTCAATATAGCCATTTTTGTTAATGGATCTATTTGAAGTTTTGTTGCGTTGTATACATGCAAGCCTACCATCATTTATCAAAACGGCCCTCAATCTCGTTGATTTGAAAACGTAAAAAGGAGAAATTTTCAAAAAAGCCTTGATCAGGCTGAACACTACTAAAAATACACTTGCTTTTTTCAGCCACCATTGCATTTCTTGCATTCCTCGACTCTAAAAGAAATATACTCTAAAAGGGATGAACAATTATCTGAATTTTTTCCTTCTAAAAAGCTCTTGAAGTCAATTTGCTTCAATGAACAGCTGGTTTGAGTTCACAAGCTTTTATACATGCCACGCAAAAATCTCAAAAGCTTCTGAGCTTTCTTGATAAAAGAGGTGAAGAACGCTCTTATAAACTTTGCGTAATCGCTGAGATTGACGGACAAGCTCCACACCAAAGGGTAACCATATTTCCACAAGCACTATGTTCGCTATTTAGGAAGTGCTGAGGTTGATTTATTATATCGCCTAATTGATGATGCGGTCCTGCTAAAACTCTCAGAATGTTGTAATGCAATCCCCTTTAGATTTAAATTACTCTTCGTAAAAATTCTCTGTGAGCAGAGATTGGACATAACCCTCAATCTCCTCTCTGGTTTGAGTCAGGTTTTGCGAGTTAGTCAAGAGCAACTAAGATTTTGAATTTCTGAGGGTTCTCCAATCTGGTAGTCTGAGTTGTAATTGGGCAGGGTGTTCCGATTACTTCTCGAAGTATGACAATTGTGGATCCAAAATGCCCAGTGCACCTATTTTTTTCTAACTGTGCACACGACTTCATTTTCGTACAAGTTTTAAAAACCAAGCCTTGGGATGTAAAAGCGTGACAGTCCCCGGTGATCTTAGAGCTTGTCTTTCAACATCAACGATTACGCAAAGTCTATATGTGCGTCCTTCACCTTATTTTCAAAACAAGAAGAAATAGTGAAATTTAGGCTTATGCCCACTCTACTGTTCAGGGGATTTCATGAAAAGTACTTGAAACTTGAAGGCGCGATTGCATCACTGCAATCTGAGAGTTTTCGCAAAACCGCATCATCATATAGGCAAGGTAAAAATCAAGCCCAGCGCTTCCTGAATATTAAACATCGGTTTTGTAGAAAAGTGTCTACTTTATGGTGATTTTGCAGTTGTCCGTCAAAATCAGTGATTACGCGAAGTTTCTAACAAGGAGAGGATACTTATTCGAAATCACCAATCCAGATGAGACATAAATCGTCTTAAAGCGCTTGAAACGCTGATTGCAAATCTGCAGTTTTTGGCTGCGGAGCGGTTTTGTAGAGGAAATTATGAGGGGTGTTTCATCTGGAATTGAGGCGCCCTCCACCAGGTCTCCCCCTACCTATGAGCACTGTAGAGGAGTACCAACTGGTGGCGACTGGCCTAGTGGTAGTGACTTGCTTTATAAGGGGATTGTCAAAGTTTTAATCCCCTTCGCATGCAACTTTATCGCAATTTTTGCAAAATCGAGCTTCTAAATATCTTTGGAGCCTAAAGCCTTGAATTTCTGATGATTTTGATGCCAATCGAAGTAAGAAGTGTCAAAAAAACCAAAGTGATATGAGCATTATAACCCTTACTCTAATCTTCATTCAAATTACTTACCACTAAGCTAGTTGCCACCAGTTACTCCTCTACAGTGCTTATAGATAGGGAGAAACCTGCTGAGGGACGCCTCAGCCCCAAAGGGAAACACCCCTCATAACTCCTTCTACAAAACCCTTCGCTGCTAGAAACTATACATTTGGAATCATCGTTTCAAGCGCTTTAAGACTGTATATGTCCCATAAGGATTGGTGCTTTCGACTAGATATCTTCCCCCTATGAGAGCGTTCTTCACCTCATAAGAAAGCTCACGAGATTCTATGTCTTCTGCGTGGCATGTAAAAAGCTCGTAAACTCGGCAAATCGGCTTTTCGTTAAAGCAGATTAACTCTCAATGCTGTCAAAAGCAAAAACTTCACGTTATTGTTCATCTTCGATTACGACGAGAGGTCGGAGGTGCTGCAAATGTTTCACACTTCGATATAGCTGTACAAAAAATTTGAGAGTCAAAGAAGCATTGATGGTTGAATCAAGCCAATGGATCTATAAAAGTGTTCAGTTTGAAGCAGTGGCTCGACAATCTTCCACAAAAATTTTTGCTTCCTCGGGGCGAATCGACGCTAATTTCGAAAGCTGAACTTACATAGTACGGAAAAAGCGTGAACTAGCCTTTTCCAAGGCCCATCATACTCAGAGTTTACAAACTAAAGACGACTCGATCGCGTCAAGACTTGAAAGCAAGGGATGGGAGGAAGTGGCGCGAAATTTGAGGGGAGGGGGGGGGGAAGAAGAAATCATAAGCACTGTAATATCTTCTGGTTTCACAAAATCAATTTGCTATCATCTGTTTATCAAGACTTCAGATAATAGGTTTTCCCAAAAGTTCTTGCGCCGCATTCAAAAAAAAACATAACTTCTTCGTATCTCAATGGATTCCTTTAAAGAGAAATCCCATATGAAAGCACGAATCAAGCTCTTTACGGATTTTTCGAAAATGCGAAGCAAGTACTTTCGGGACAGCCTAATATTTACAAGAAACAAGTTTTTGCAGTTTAATCTTGTAACTCAAATTAACCACTACCTGAATTTTCGCAACACATTATTTGGAAGAGCAATGGGGGTGAGGAAGAGGACGAGGACAGAGCTGCTTTGAGGGTTGTTGGAAGATGGGGAGAGGAATTAGTGGCCTGAAAATGCTCAAAAGCATGCTAGTCCCACTTCACAAGTCTTTTAAAACGATATTTTCAAGGTTCTTAATACTTCCTTGGTGGTACTCGGCATTGGAACATATTTAGAACTTACATTTTGGCTTCATACTTCCGTAGGTCAAACTTTCTGCAAATGATCGCAGGATAACTTGTAAAGTCCATTAATCTATCGAAAATAATATTAGGTTGGCACGAAAGTTCGTTCGCACCATTTTCAAAAAATCGTAATTTCTGATTTTTCCAACCAATTTGCCTGTTTTCATTTCTTTATCAAACAGCAATTTATGCTCTTTATAATGACATTTTAGCCGCTTGCTAATGATCATCTATTGCATAGATAAAAGCGATAGAAGAAAATTAGTCAAAATTCGAATTTTCTGTGTAGCGTCATAATAAATCGGAAACTTGCAACAAAAATCGGAGTAGTCGGTATTGTAGGTTGCTTCACCAGCTCTTTCTAACATTGCAAAGTTTGCGCCGATTGAGCGTCTCTATGAAAAGTTATGATTTTCGAGCAAGCAATACAAAAGGGCGAATTTGATTTATTTTGGCATTTTTCGGGAAAATCGTAACTTTTCATAGAGACGCTCAATCAGAGCAAACTTTGCACTGTTAGGAAGAGCTGGTGAAACAACCCACAATACCGACTGCTCCGATTTTTGTTGCAAGTTTCCAATTTTTTATGACCCTACACAGAAAATTCGAATTTTGACTAATTTTCTTCTATCGCTCCTGTCTATGCAACAGATGATGACTAGCAAGCAGCTAAGGGAGCTTCCAGACCGCGCTGGCTGCCGCTTTTGCAGCCGTTAGCCGCTTTCACGCCGGTTGCCGCTAATGCAGCCGAAGCGCAGTGGGTCAAGGTATTGTCCCCCTGGCGCATATGTAGCGCTGAAACTCTTTGATCAGTCTATTTTCTCGTGTTTCTTGCACCTGTTTCTTATTTTGACTGCTATAGGCTGGTTTCGAGGCAAGAGTTTTTGGGTAATGGTTGCTCGAATACTTAGAACATCACCGTTGAACGCAGATGCGCTAGGTACTCCGTTAATTCAGGTGGAGTTCACAAAGTGAATTGTTCACTGCATTTTTTTAAAAATATTTTGTTATGCTTAAGCTTCTGTGAGTGATGCGATTGAAAAGTTTGGTGCGATATTGAAGAACATTTGTGCAAATGATGATGCAAACTGCATCACTCACAACAGATATGAAATTTAAGCTTAACACAAAAACCAAGGTAAGTAGCAAGGAACACTAGGAGTAACTAACTAACTATTTACGCTCTAGTTCTACATGTTGTAAGTGATGCGGTTTTTCATTTTTGCACCATGCCTCATTATGGATTTGCGCAAATGCTCTTCAACATTGCATGCAGCTTCCCTAACCGCATCATTCACACAACGCACAAAACTTGAGTTTAATAAAGATTGGATAAAAGAAATAAACAGGTCACTTCGTAAACTCCTAATGCAAACGATTAGAGCATCTGTCCTAACGATGTTTCAAGTCTTTAAGCAATCTAATATATTAAGAATCGTTGACTCAATTCAAAAATCTGCAAATAGCGGGATACCGCGGCTAGTCCCGAAACGAACGCACTTTCAATTAGCACCTCTAGCTTACTGATTCACTAGTCATTCCAAAAACTCGTACCTCGAAACCAACCTATAACAAACATATTGAGAAGCATATGTAAAAAAAACGCAGAAAAATATATCGATCAATGAGTTTCCGTGCCACACGCGCGCTAGGAAAACAATGGCTTGACTCACTGCGCTTCGGCTGCAATAGCGGCAACCGGTGCGAAAGCGGCTAACGGCTGCAAAAGCGGCAACCGGCGCGGTCTGGAAGCTCCCTAAGACGACGTTATGAAGAGCATGTGTTCTCTTTCATACAAAAATAGATGCAGCCAAATTGGTTGAAAAAATCAGAAGTTATGAATTTTTTAAAATGGTGCGAACGAACTTTCGTGCCAACCTAATAATTGTAGTTTGGCTCCTAATCAAGAATTTGAGTCTACAGGACATCGTCGTCAGATGGAAAAAAATTTATGAGACAATCGTAATGGTTGGTCCGTCCATTGGAAGACCTTTATGCGTGTTGCATCTTCTCTCACCTGATGTTCTTCAGGAAACGAGAACGCAACATCATATACCGTCTTGCCAAATTAGGCGGATATCAGGCGCTGATCAGATTTCTTTGCATGCTGTCATCAACATAGAAAAACATTGAAATTAGTGTGCTTTTGCACCGATCCGTTGAATACAAAACTCACTGAAATAAGACATCTGGAGTGCTGCCAGATACCGATTACATCCACTACTGCTCAAGCAGTTCTACTGGAGATGTAGTGAAATCCTCGAAAATATCGCTTTAACGTACAGCGTGACTTGAGGGACTAGCAAATCATTCAAGTACTGATAGCACAGATTAGTAGATGATGCAAAACTAATGCCTGCTTCTTATTTTGAAGTGCCAGAAAAGATATAAGAATGTACAAAATCTATCACTCGATAGGGGAGTAGCTGCGCATTCTCAAAATCTTCAATCTACGTGAACTTGCAAAAAAATATAGAAAAATTTGTGTACCCAAAAATCAGATTTTCGTCAAAAGATGCTGCTAACTTCAAACATGGTCAAGCATACTATACAAATCATATGTCCAGCTAACGCATTCGTTCTGAAATGGAAATTAAAAATTTAAAGAAGGTCAAAAATCGAAAATGTTGCTTTCGGGTTTTCATGTCAAATTTGTATATCTCTGACAACCAGCGCTCGAAGAAGGCCCTAAACTGTTGTAATTCCAAAGGCTTGCAGTGTGGAACTGTCTATGTCGAGACAATCCAGCATTGATTATATTAAATGCCAATGCCTTATTTCCTTTACTACTAGCTTTGGAAAAAATACAGCAAGTGTATAATACCTATGCAAAGTAATGCGCTATTGCGACATGTAATTTTTGTGAGCAATTTGGGTGTTTGTAGGATTTTTCTTGGCAGAGATCCAATTTCTGGGCTAAACCTCCTTCCCACTTTCCTTATCAAACTTTCTAAGATTGTCTGACACACCTTGTAGAGCTTGTTTTGTTCTATCTAACGATATGTTTCATGGATTTTTATACCTTTTCTGCCGCACAAGGATATAAGTCACACGCATTTGTGCATCAACATAATGCAACGCTATAAAATGAAATAATCACTTATTCCAGCTCTTGTCTCTCCTCCTCCTCCCCTCCCCCCCCCCTCCCACCGCCTTCCCCCGACAATTTCTCGCACCACTACCTTCCACCCCTTTCTCGCTTTCGGATACCCTCCCTGAAGTGCAAAGCAAATGAAAAGCATGCCCTCATCCGCGGAGAAACTCACCACTATGTGCACAAGAACTCTTCACTCTGTATGGCTTTCGGGATAATGAGTACAGTGTTTGACTATTACGATAATTATAGAGGCGGCAGGTGGCTGGTAAAGGTCACGAGCGGTTGTTCAGCGTCGCGCATCCCATTTCCCTTAGCAGAGCATAGTCTGGTTCAGTCAAGCCAATAATCAAAGTTTTGTCACAAATAACACTCAATCAAATTAAAAACCAGCAGAAAATTGTGGATGCGAAAAAGTTTTGCACACGTCCAAAGCAGCTGTTATTATCTACTTATTAAAATGACAAATATTTCCGACCTTGGTCAGGCTTTCCACAACGAAAAATGCTTAAGACTTTTTGTATGTAATGGGATTGAATGTGGGATTGAATACCACTCATATATGGTCACAAATATTGGATCACACTAATGGTAAACGCGGCCGCCGTAGCTGCCGAAACTCTGAGAATTTTTCTTTTCTTAGTCTTTGATTACAGCTGCTTTAGCGATTTTCATTGTTATTACAACACTTTTCCTCTATCTTGTATTCTGAATGTCACACCGAAATTGTCCGAATATGCAAAAGAGTGTTAAATAGTAGTAGGCAAGAAATTTCAATTTGTATGACGAATTATTTTAGGAGCTCGACATACGCCAATAGAAATTCGAGTTTACTTAGACTCATGGGTCTTCACAAACAATAATTTTATCACTATTTTGCAATATAATATTTGAGATTGACTAATAGCTTTCTAAATGTGGCAAAAATATCTTTTATCCTGCTATCACTGTCAAATCATTAAGAGTGTCACTAAGGGGTACTCATCAGACCAAATTGAAAATAACAAGCGTACAAACCAAATAACATGTAAATAAAAAAGAATTCTCTCTAGTTGTAGGCCAAAATTCCGTTAATTTCGAAGAAACCGATATGTAATTTTCCATCAAAATTAATCTTTATTCACTCTATGGCGTTTATATCTTTCTTGCAATTTGTGGCTTTATCTTGAGATATGTTGAGGAAAGAAGAGGAAAGAGAGGAACATTCGCAGTATTCTTCAAATTTCAGACGCACAAGTGGTTTATTCGAGCAAGGAAACTTTCTCAAAAAATACTCGTATACGAGCATGTTAGGTTTGGAAATACTGACAAAAAGGGCAATGATTTTTTTTTCAAACGAATTAGATGGTTTGAAAGGAAAGTTTGCAAAATCTGCATTCTCCTCCAGATTCACTGGAAATTGTAAATCACTTTTTCTCCGCAAAAAAGCCACCGAAATTACCGATGTATGTATTTGGGCTGAGCTGCAAGAGTAAAATTCTATGACATTTTAGTCTTCAGCAACCAGGTTTGAGAAGGTTTTGTAATGGAAAGAAATGGATGCTTGCACTTGCAATTTCTATAATACTTAGGTGTTAAAACTTCGGGATTGTATAGCTACCGCAAGAATAAAATTTCAAACATATACTGAAACGTTTTCAAAGGTTTTCCGATTGTATTCACAATTCTTGGTGCAAAACTTTGAGTCAAACCTAATATTGCAGGCCCATCAATTCTGTTTCTCTTCCAATCTCAAATATTACGCTTTAAACAAAAACTTTCATTGTTCAACCTTGAAGCCAGATATTAGGCTGGCACATAAGTAGTTCGACTTTCCGTGTAACATTTGTATTTTTGAACATAGCGCATTCCTTTTTTGGCAGTATAAGGATTATGATAAAAACTTCAAATGCAGATTTTTGAACATAGCGCATTCCTTTTTTGGCAGTATAAGGATTATGATAAAAACTTCAAATGCAGACATTTTTTGCGGAATCTTGCCATCTTATGTAAGCGTCACGGTAGGTTTACGTATAATGGAAATTTTTTTAGATTGCGTCAGATTTTGCTGAAACTTGCCCTATAAGCTTATTCGAATGCTTTCATAAAAATGAGACCCTTTTCGCATAAAGCCTCCTTCGTAAAATCAAGAAATGAATTTCCATCTTAGCGACAAATGAATATGATATTCGTGTATTTTATCAAGCTGGATAACCCTATCGTGCGGTCTTAGCGAACTCTGTGTTTTAGCAGCTTAGTTATCGAGAAATGGCCCTCCAAATTTGACGCACTAACTACTTCATCTACTCTGAAGCGCCTTATCCTGGTTTGTCTTTGTATTTCGCTTCTTTTTTACTCATTCTAATGTATCAACTTTTAGCTACATGGTTGGTTCAGGTTTTGTATGGCTTCATGTTCGCCAAAGACCATGAAACCTCGATTTTCAGCAGTTTTTGAAAAATGCTCAATCTTTCTCACTACATTATCAGAAATCAGACGGTTTGCGAAGACTTGCAACTTACATAGCAGTCCACACGATGCCAAAAAATGAAAACAAGAAAAAAAGTCATGGGAAAAGCTGCAAAACTTATGCGCCTACTAATATCTATGATTTCCAACATCTTCACTCTGCGGAGACATTATACAGATGTAACGGGTCGTCTGTCTGCGGGCGCGTATTACTGTCGATGATGCCCTAAGCGTTCCGTGAGAGTGCGCACTGCTCTCAGGTTGTATGCACACTTAACCAGTGTTTGTTTTGCCCAAATGCGTTCCCAACAAACTTTATCGAGCACGTCTGCATTTGCGCCATAAGTAGTGGATCTCTGCTGCATCTCTTATGATTACCAGGTTATTTTTGAAGCTAGTTCTCCCCATACATCTTTCAGATCTTTCTTCATCAGGTAATCCGAGATAGACAAGTCATTTTTACATTTTGTTTTTCTCTGAGTTATGGCTGCTCTGGTGCTCTTTCAATTTTTATCCTTTTTTGGAGTAATTTTTGTCCTCATCAACAAAGCAACCGTAGTAATGGCAAACTAAATTCCATTTCTCAATATCGAAAATACTTTTATATTTATTCGTTTATTCATTTAGTTATTCAATGCGCTCATAGCGTCTCTATGCATCATACAAATCACAATTTTTATTTCTTCATGATGTTTCTCTGGTTTAAATTTATTTCTTTCAAAGAAAATATTAAAGCCTTCACTAAGCAACTGTATAGTAGTGCCATATTCCCCATTTTACCAATTGCTAAAGAGCATTTTTCAACTTAAAAACACTTCAAGCGTGCCAGTCTAGGCTAATCATGTTTACTTTCACTTAAGCTCAGTGTTAAATTTGCTCTGCTAGTTTCCAAGACCTCTTAGACGTTTAGCAGATGTTGTCGACCTATGCTAACTTCTTGATATATGGTGTTCAAATTTAGTTAGAAGATAAGCGGCTAACGATGATTGCAGTTTAGATGGTATTCAGGGAAATGGACCCATCAATGTTTTTACGATTAGGCTCAGCTATTTTTGAGAAGTGCGTGGAGATCTAGATATTCCTGCATCTGAATAAAGGCTCATTTGTTCCCATAAAATCGACTGAGAATAGTTCGATAAGTCATCTATAGTCTTATGCTAAAATCTCGCCTCCATTTGAAAAACTGCGAAGAAAGCTAGAAAATTTGTTGCGGACGCGTGTAGAGAACACGTCATTTTTTACTTATAAATGCTGATTTTCATGACATTTATTATTAGCATTTGGTTTTATTATAATCCTGATCAGCGTAGGTTACACTCATTTACACTTTTGTATAAGTGACTAATAAAAACCCATGTGGGTTACACATAGATCAACAAGAAAAATTTTTGTCTCAACGATGGGGATTGATTCACAATCACTAAAATAAAAACTAATAATACTAATAACTAATAATAATAACTAAAGCGTGAAATTCATAACTGCGGCACATGCTAATACTTCCTAG